TATTCATAAGGTTTTCCCTGGCCAATTCTTTGAGAAGTGGTTGACCTCTTCTTCCTAGTCTGTCTCAGCCTGTAAGCTGCATTGAAACCTGTGCACCATGTGTAACCCTCCTGGCATTTGAAACACCTGTGGCACAGCCTCAAGCCTCACAGCAACACACAAGCCACAATAGTATGACAAGCTGACAGACAACTTTGTCTCCCTTAGCTGTTTGAAACCTCTCCACCCTCCCCTTACCTGGATGCCTGCTGCTGCTTGCTTTGTTGTCCCCCTGGCTTTTCTTTCCTTTCCCCCACTTTCCTGACTCTTGGGGGCGGGCCCTGGGTCCCTCCCCTTACCTGAATCCCTGCTGCTGCTCACTCTGTTGTCCTGCCACTGCATGCTCTGTTGTCCCTCTGGCTTTTCTTTCTCCTGCTTTCCTGCCTCTTGGAGGTGGGGCCTGGGTCCCTCCCCTGACCTGGATCCTTGCCACTGTTTGCAGGGTAGTGAATAGTGGCAGGGATCCTGATTATGGGTAGGAATGGATTAACTGAGACATTGCAAAGAAATATCTAAAGATCCACAAAATTTTCACTGGACTTGTAACAAAGTGGGAGAAATTTGGATAAATAAATGATAGACCAACCAAAAAACCAAACTCACTGCCGTTGAGGTGGATCTGACTAACAGCGAACTATCCTTAGGTTTCCAAGGAGTATCACTAGAGAAATAGATTGCCCAACCTGTATTAGAAGCATCTGAAAGACAACCATCCTTTAAAGCCACTCAAAGTGAGATTCCTCTGGACTGTATTCCTTTACCTAACACACTCACAAATTTGTACCAGATGAAGAAGGTATAACAAAAATGGCAAAACAACATATACAAGCATTAATGAATGTATACGAGGGATCCTAAGACCTATTGACCTTTCTGGATAAGACAATGTTGAATGAAAAAAAGCACAACCAAGATGCACTTTCTACTAAAAATATTCAAAGGCTGGTGATTTCAAGACACCTGGAGGAAGTTCAACCCCAAGATTTTATGCTTGCAAGGATGAAGACGATATCAAAAAACAAAACAAAACTACTGAACTACTGCCATCAAGTTGGATCTGACTCATAGCAAGCCCTCCTTGGTTTTCTGAGGCAGTATCACTACAGAAGTAGACTACCCAATCTCTCTTCTGAGGAGTGGCTGGGGGGTTTGAACCGACAGCCTTCTAGTTACCAGTCAAATGCCTTAGGCACTACACAGGGACAATTTTGGAGAAGAGTGTCTGTGTCAATTCACTCATCTAGGTGCCTGAGAAGCAAAGAAGGAAAAAGCAATATGGTCCTTAATTAGAAATGGACCAGAGGAGAATGAGTCTGAGGTCAGACAAAATAAAAGTTTTTTGTTGTATTTGGGGAACTGCAAAACTATATATGGGTGTGGCTGGTTTCAGTGTGCCAAATATTTAGTATTTAGAGCTCTGGTGGTGTGTGGTTAAGTACTTGGCTGCTAAGCAAAAGTTCAGTGGTTCAAACCCACCAGCCGCTTAGTGGGAGAAAGAGGTAGCAATCTCCTGTAAAGATTCAGAGCCTTGGAAACCTTATGGGGCAGTTGTACTCTGTTCTATAGTGTCACTATGAGTGGGAATTGATTCACACTAGCAGTGGGTGTGGTTTGGACTGAAGAGCTAACTCAATTGTGCTAACAAAGGAAGTTTCATTTTTGTTTTATTCAGTAGATGCATGACCTGTAGACACCTTAGTATTTTCAAATCAATGTCTGTCTTATTCTTGCTGAGGACAGATATTTTAGCTCATAATTTTAACCATGAGCCACATTCTCAAATATACGACACTAGGTGAAAAAACTACTGCTTTGCTATCCATAAAAAAGCACATACAATGTACAGTGCATATTATTTCAATACTATGTAATTATTAAGCAACTAAACAGTGTTGAAAGGAGCTCTGGTAGCACAGTGCCTAAGACATTTCACTGCTAACCAGAAGGTTGTAGGTCCAAACCCACCAGCTACTCTGCAGAAGGAAGATAAAGCAATCTACTTCCATAAAGATTTACCACCTTGGAAACCCAATGGTGGTCACCATGCATAGGAATAAATTCAATGGCAGTGGGTTTGGTATTTTTCATACAATTTGAAGACTTTGTTATCTACTCCAGGGAAGCCAAATAATAATTAATTATGGCTCCTCTCCACAAGGAGCTTATACATATGCTGGTAATAAGGAAACAACCAAGGGCAATTCACATAGGAAGCATAGTTGTCACATGCTGTTGGTTCCCAACACCAAAGCATTTCTGCCATGTACTTCGTAGAGGAGTATTTATGAAAGGGTGAGGGATGAGGATTCCAGGAGTTCAGAACTAAGAGATGCAGCTTAAAGGAGACACATTTCTAGTTGTAACAGTAATGTTAATGTAAGAGATTAGAAAGGTAGATACATATGTATGTATACATGCATGCACACTTCACAGCTATATATTTCATTTTTGTTTTATTTAGTTTTGTTTATTTATACACACACACACACACACACACACACACACACACATATATATATATATATATATATATGGGAGCTCTGGTAGCATAGTGCCTAAGGCACTTGACTGCTAACCAGAAGGCTGG